AATGCTCAACTGCTATGTGTTCTATCTTTGATGTGTTTAATGTAGTTGTACAAATATGATTACTACTTGATTTATCGGTATGTTTAACATACTTAAATTATAAGTCTCTATAACACTTACTAAAATTATAAATAATCGTGCCCCCGTGTGAGGATGTGCAAAAGTTCAAAATCAATAACTCGTTTGTTCATTACCCATGTAGAAGGGTCTATCTAATGTGTCGTGACGGCAAGATAGCTTTTGGGACAACTTCCTGTGGAGGACCAAACATCACAGGTTAAAGGAACACCGGTTTTTATATTTAAAAATCCCAATTGCATATCTTTTTTGGCTATATCCCAATACTTTAAAGCATTACGTCTAAGAGATGTGCGACTTACTTGCCGGTATTATGGTTGCATTTTTTCCCGCAAAATCCTTGTTAATCATGGGTTGTCGAAGTGGTTGAAAAGAAAGCCCTCTTTACTCACGAACTTACAAAAAGCTGTCATGAATTTCATCATTGTTGTAAATAAAGATCGCACGGTCGGGAGTAATATTTGGTTGATCTGGATTGCCTTGACCTTTTACAATCGGAAAAGTTTTTGTTATATGACTCCTCAATGTACTATTTCCATCTTTTCCCAAAAACATATCGTACTTCTTGCATCTCTCTTTTTCCTTCCCGTTCGACAACAAACACAAATCATAATGTTCCCACATGAAACATCCCAAAAATACAGTCCAAAAATTTCATTTTTAAATCATTAATGAACCATAAATGTCACTCATCATATAAAAATCATAAATCGTGTATCTCAAGATATAATAAACAACTGTCAGTATATCAAAATCATATGTCAAAACATCAGAGTAAATCATCCCAATCTAAATGTTGTGGTGTATGTCATGCAGTCATCCCGACCTCTTCCCCTTACTAGAGAAAGTACCTGAAACCAAAACTAAAAACTGTAAGCACGAAGCTTAGTAAGTCTCCCAAAATTACCACATACCATACACGTAATCACATAAACATATAACACATAACTTGGGCCTAGCCCACAACATCAGGCCCCGCTCGACATCGGACCGAAGTTCGACATCGGGCCCTACCCGACATCGGACCGAAGTCTGGCATCGAGCCTCGCACGACATCGAAACGAATTCTGGTATACATATAAGATATCAATAAGCATGTAACATAAACACATAACATAAATAAATATATAAACATGCGTCGGGCTTGCCCCGACATCGTACGAAGCCCGGAACATATAAACATACACATGCAAGAATCACGAAGACATCAAGCATACAAACCTTCCTCGGGCTTTCCTCAACATTGGACCAAAGTCGAGAAACATATAACCTACATCGGGTTAACCCCGACATCGGACCTAAGTCCGACATATGCTAACATACATAAATGGGCTGACAATGGTACCTTCGACTCGTTCCTACTAGAGGAAAACTCAGCTCGCATAGCTAGCTGTTGAATCTCTCAGTAAGGAAATCTTTATCGGCTGCTTCCGCGACTCCCTAACTAACATCATCACAATAACACTTAGTCAAAATCCAAAATCTTTCTTAGGGTAAAATGACCACTTTACCCCTGGTCAAAGTCATCATTCTAGTCAAAGTCAACGTTCTGGGTTGACTCAACTCACCTAGTTGACCCATCAACTCGCTGAGTTCTATAAATCAAGAACCCTAAAATCACGATCCGACTCGTCAAGTCATCCCCCTAACTCACCGAGTTCCCTTGCTACTCGTAGTCGTGATAAAGCGATTCAAGTCGTCGAGTCCCTCCTCAGACTCGTCTAGTTCTACCTGGTATAGAATCGGGGCAAATCGAATCAACTCGTCGAGTTCCTCTATGGACTCGACGAGTTCCTCAGTCTGTTTGGGCCATCTTAATGGGTTAAGCCCCTATTATTTAGATCTAAGCTTCATATTTCTAATATACACTGAAAATGTACTTTTAATGGTAAAGTTTCAACTTTGCCCGTTAATACCTTTACTTAATAGGTTTAGCTCAAACCTTAACTCTTTAGGACCTAGATCTTGGTCCACAAGCCATCCATACTCCAAACTAAAGCAAACAAACAGAGGTTTAGACCCTAAACACTACATGATCATGTAAATCTTCCACATTTCACTCCATGCATGACCTTTTGGAGCTTAAAAGGCCAAAATGACATCCTATGGTTTGCATGGGCTTCAATGGTCATAAAGTTTGCACCTTTATGCCATGAAAGCCCTCCATTATTCCAGATCTAATGGCTCACTCACTTGGGACATCTAAATGCTAAAGGTCAAGCTTCTTGGACCAAAAACCGAATAAGATGATGATAAAGAGATCTAAGAAGCTACTAAGCAAGTTTAAGACTTGCTTACCAGAAAATGGTGAGGAAGAAATGAAGTCTCTGGATCTACTATCTTCTTCTGGAATCACCTAGCTTCTCCCTCCTTCACAAGCTTCAAAATACACAAAGTTTCACTCACAAATGGCTCACAAGCTCACATTTGTATTAGGGTTTCTGAATCTAGGGTTTGGGACTTGGAGGCTGGAAATGAGGCCAACAAGTGGGGATTAGGATGCTTAAATAGGGTGCAGAATCCCAAAATTAGGGTTTCATCCTGGCAGCCTTACTCGTCGGGTTGGGACTACCAACTCGTCGAGTTGCTTTATAAAAGTGAATAAATTATTATTTAAATTTGTACCAAGAACCAGGCGTTACAATTCTCCCCCACTTGTCTTAGACTTCGTCCTTGAAGTCTGATGCGCCGGGAAACAACTCCGGGTAGTGCTCCCTCATGTCCCCCTTGGCCTCCTAATTCCACTTCAAGCGCTTGCGGTGCTGCCACTGCACCTTTACTAGCTTCACCCTCTTGTTCCCCATCTCCTTCTTCTTCTTGTCGAGAATAGTTATCGGTATCTCAATGTAATTCAGGCTGTCATCAACCTAAATATCCTCTATAGGCACAACCGTTGAGTCATCCACTAAGCACTTCCGTAGTTGAGAAACATGGAAAGTGTTGTGGATCTGGCTGAGCTCTGCTGGAAGACCCAAATGGTGAGTAACCGTCCCACCCGAGCCAAAACCTTGAACGGTCTGATGTATCTGGGGCCTAGTTGGCCCCGCTTCCTGAACCGGATGACACCTTTCCAAGGTGACACCTTCAGGAAGACCATGTCGCCCACCTGAAACTCCAAGTCTGAACGTTGCTTGTCGGCATAGCTTTTCTGCCGACACGGAGCAGTCTGGAGCCTACTCCGGACCTGTTGGATCCTCTCAGTAGTCTTGAGTACTACCTCAGTACTCCCTATGACTCTTTGATCGACCTCGCCTCAACAGATTGGGGTCTTACACTTCCTCCCGTAGAGCATCTCGAAGGGAGGTCGGGCTATGTTGGCGTGGTAGTTGTTGTTATACGAAAATTCCACTAACGGAAGATACATATCCCAACTGCCACCAAAATCGAAAACATATGCACGCAACATATCCTCGAGAGTTGATCGAGCAATGATTTTTGCGATGTTGTTATACAGATTGATGGGGATGATTTTAAATGAGGAAATTGCAGAGAAAGATAGGAAGAAGGATTTCGTTGCTGCTGCTGCTGCATCATTACAATAATACTAAGTATTATCCATAATCATCATCAGTAGTTGATTTATTTTTATATCCAAAATCCATCTCACAATAGCATAATAACATTCAAATTTATTTTTATATCCAAAACCTGCAACTCCATGTTTAATTTTTTGGAAAGAAACGAGGTAATTAAACAAATGAGCTCTAAGACATCATACTAAAATTCAAATCAGTCACTAAAATACTACACACCAAGACCACCACCATCAAAACAACCCATAAACACCTCTCGTGCAACTCAAATTGACTTTATTTTTTTGCGTTAATCAGGAGACCAGGTCCAAAAAACACTCTCGTATATAGTCAATACAACTTTACACCTGCAATACAAAAACAAGGTAACTGAGAAAGGAGAGAAAACGAAGAGCAGGAAGAGAATCGCAAGAGGGGTGAGGTTGCGTTTCCGAGATACTCCGGGAGGAACCCGAAAAAATTGTTGCTGGATGCACTGCTAGTTGCTCCCATTCCAAAACCTTTCGGGAATTCTCCGACGAAATCGTTTTGACTAGCATCGATGGTAACGAGCAAAGTGAGATTTTTGAGAAAGATTTTGGAAGAGTCGTGCTAATTTACAGTTTTGACAGAAATGGTCCCTCCAATTCTAAAAAGAGAAAACTTTGTCCCTATGATTAGTAAATGATGATTTTGTCCTTATATATCTCACATATGTTCGGACTTAACAGAAAAAAATTGAAAGAGTTAACCATAAAAACGATCTATTAAAAGTTTTGAAATTACATGTGTCATCGTTGACGATCTAAAAAATTAAGTGCTATAATCGATCTTTTTAAAAACCACATGTATCATTTATGAAGTTTTTGTACTTTTAAAAAACAAAATGCGTAAGCATGATTCCGAATAATTAAAGAAAGATATTGCAAAAGACTTTGAATGGTCTAAACGTCATAAGCCTCACTTTCCACCCTCTTGCTTCCTACTTCCAAAGTGGTCAAGTGTTATATATCATATACTCCAGCTCTTTAAAATATAATACAACACTTTAAAATTTTGAGTTTATAATATACTTTTCCAAAAAGATATTTTTTATAAAATGCTTGTTTTAAAAACTATCGGTATAACTTAAAAAAAAAACATAATTATATTTAGATTAAAGAATATAGTTTTACACCGATAACAATCGTTTTTTTCTTCAAAATCTGTCTGTTGTAGCCTTAATTATTATTTGAAAAACCAATGTAAATATTTTAATATAAATTTAGTGAATTCTAAATCACAATAAACATTAATAGAGTTAATGTTTTGTTTATTATATGATTACCCCTTTTTATACTACGTGTCTTGATTTCGGACCCAAGAAGTGTGATATTAAAACATTGAAAGCATCGGTGGGTGTGACGAATGCTAACAAAACAAACATATTTTATTCGAAAAATACGAAAGATGCTGAAAAATTGTTAGTGGGGCTGCTTGATTTTCACACAAATACATATTTCAATAAATAAAAAAAAAGTCTGCTCGGTTTAAATAGCACATGACCCCGCAAGTCAACAAGATCCATTTTGCTTCCTGAAAGCTTCGAATTATGTCTCCGTTTTGAACTGGGGATTGAGGTAATGTTCTTGAGACTTGTTGTGTAATCGATTTGAAGTAAATTTAGTATCTTTTTAGGTTTTTATGGATCAAAATACGTCTAATTTTTGTGGGTGTTGTTCTTTAATGCTTTAAAGCATAAAGTTTTCATTTTTTCTGTTCTTTATTGAGTGGAATTGGGTTTTTTTGTCATCCCTTTATTTTCTGAATTCTGGGAAAATGTTCTCTGTGGATTGTTTTATCAAGATGATGATTTATGGGTAGCAAAAGCTTGAAGGTTGGTGGAAAAGCTAATACTAGTGTTGGTGCTTCGATGCCTAGCTTTGTTTCTCAGATACCCATCTCCAATTCAAAGTAATCTCTTCTCTATTTGCTTCTAATCTTCTTAAAATAATAAAGTGTTTGTCGTAGTTTTTGATTAATCTTTATAAATCAGACCCAACTATTGAAAGTGAAAAAAAGAAAGGTTAAAGTAAGTAGTTTGATAGCGCCGTTTTTTCAATCTTTTTTTTTCACATCAATTATAATCTTGATTGATATGTTACTTTTCAAATATATTGTCATGTGATTGAGTAAATGAGTAATTGAAATATTTTTTTTATGTAATCAGTGGTGTAGAGAGTAACGCTGGTCAATCCTCCCGAGTTTCTAATTTCGGGTCGCCCGAACAGTCGCTTGGATTTCGTGGAGGTGATTATAATTTTTAAATTATAACGTTATTTTATTTTTTCGTTTTTGAATCTGCAAATGAAACTTTTCCATTGTTGTCTTGTTCTTAAGTTTATAACTCCACAGCTTTGATCAATCAATCTGTGCACCCTGATCTCCAGTTTGGTACATATGATAAGGTGATTTTAGATGTTTTGATCATATGATTTCACTTTTATGTTTAACTTTTGTATTTATTGTTACAACTATATTCTTTAATTAAAAGAGTTAAAACGCAAGAAACAACAATGTATGTTTATTGGTTACTTTGTTATAGCATCATCATATGTTATGGAGTTTGATGCTAATTACAAGATGTGTTGTGTTTCAGATGTTACAAGGGCAAAATAGTAATCGTGAGGCCTGGTTAGAATCTAATATTATGGGAGATGGAAGCCCACACACAGATACTTCCACTGAAATGGACCCTGATGACAACAATCAAAGCGTAAAAAAAAATATTATATTTTTACAAATTGGAATTCAATTATGATTTATGTTTTTTTTTTATTCTGTATGCAGTTTGATATTGTTCCATCTAATCCGTTTATGGCTTCTGGTTCTAGTGACAAACAAAAAGAAAAATTTCCAGAACAAAAGGTATTTTTTTTTGTATGTTATTCTTTATTAAATTTTTTTTCTAACTTTTTTGTATTAAATTTATAGACATTAAGGCGATTAGCTCAGAATCGTGAGGCAGCCAGAAAGAGTAGGTTGAGGAAAAAGGTAAAATAATTGGTTTAAATTTTGACAAAAAAAAAAAAAAAGGTACCATGAATGAAAAGGAGACCTTAAAGTGAAATTAAATGTTTTTTTCTTTTTCTTTTTGGGTTTTACTGTGTAGGCATATGTGCAACAATTGGAAAATAGTCGATTGAAGCTAACTCAACTAGAGCAGGAGGTCCAACGAGCTCGAAAGCAGGTATGAGGGCAAATTTGTAAATAATGCTTAAAGAATATTTAATAAAAGTGGAAGGAAAAAAACAAATGTGAGCAAATTTTGAAAAAAGTTGGGACTTAATGGGAAAGCCTCTTTTGATCAACTGTCTATTAAGTCGTTCTTTTTTCATTAAGTCAAAAAGAAACACTACATATAGCTTATTGACCCCATTAAGTCAGCTTCTATTGACTTATGTAATTTCGATTAATCTTCACCAATTTTTGACTTTTTTTTTTCTATTTTTTAAATTTTTACTTTTGTAGGGTGTTGTGATTTCTAATTCAAGTGATCAAACGCAACCAAATGGTGGTAATGTTATGTATAAATCTATCGGTTTCTTGTATTCGTATAACATGCATACAAGAAGTAGCATCTACTTTTCATAACCTAAAAGGGTTAAATGAAACTCAAATAAAATTCTTATTAAGAAATTGTTTCTTATTAGGAGTTTATACTTTGAAAAAATCTACCCAATTATAGCAGTGAAAATTGCTTTGCAAATTCAGATAACTTTTTTTTTCTTGATTGACAGTTACATGATATGATTGTACAGGGTCATTGGCATTTGTAGCAGAATATTCTCGGTGGTTGGAAGAGCAAAGCAAACACATAAGTGAGCTGAGGACAGCTGTCACTTCACATAGAAGTGACAATGAGCTTCGTTCTTTAGTAGAAAATGCCACCTCACATTTCAATGGTATTTTTAGGCTCAAAAGAATTGCAGCAAAAGCCGATGTTTTTCATATCATTTATGGAATGTGGACATCGCCTGCAGAACGTTGTTTCCTATGGATCGGTGGCTTCCGTTCATCCGAATTACTCAAGGCAAGAAATAGCAATGTACTTTCATTTATTATTATCTCTATACATTTTATTATCACAAATTTTTAATTTTTTTTTTTTGCACAAATGGCAATGCAGCTACTTGTGAGCCACTTGGAGCCACTAACAGAACAACAACTAGCAAGCATTGATCATTTACAACAAACATCACTTCAAGCAGAAGAAGCTCTATCACAAGGAATGGATGCATTGCAACAATCTCTAGCCCAAACATTGGCTAGTGATGCACCCGTTGTGCCAGCTGGATCTTCGGGTATGGCTAACTACATGGGTCAAATGGCCATGGCTATGGGAAAACTCGGTTCTCTTGAAAATTTTCTCCGCCAGGTAGATCTTCTTTTCCACAATAAAATAATGTTTAAAAATATCTAAGAATCTGACAGCCAAAATGACCTAATAGGGAAAGTGGAGAAAACCACTTTCCCTGACAGTCAAAATGACCTAATAGGGAAAATGGAGAAAGTCATTTTCCCTATTAGGTCGTACTTTCTGCATCAAGTACAAAAAGTACTAAGTCTATTAAGTAAAAAAGAAACAATATCTTTTAAAAGTAATGTTAAGGATTTACTTTATGTTTATGGTGGGTCCCACTCCCAGGCGGATCATTTGAGGGAAAAGACGTTGCAACAAATGCATACGATACTAACAACTCGGCAATCAGCACGTGCACTGCTTGCAATTAATGATTACTTTTCTCGGCTTCGTGCTCTTAGTACGCTTTGGCTTGCTCGCCCACAAGAGTGAGAATGAAGGAAGTTGATTTGTCATTTGTAAAAGTAAAGGGAGTGTAATTTTTATGTACAGTTGTTTTTGTAATTCTTGATTCAAGTGTGGCTGTTGAAGATAGGTGACATTGATATTGTTAGTGTCGAAGTAGGAGTAGCAAGAAAATAAAGTGGATTGTTTTTGTGATTATTATGGAAGAAACATGGTGGTTGTTATATTTACAACCCTTTAGAAGTATGTGTTTTTAAAGATATTAGTATATTGGTTAGTTTTGTTGACTTCTTTTGAAAGGGAGATAAAGTGTTTTGTATGTTTAGGATGTTTCATGCTACATGTGCCTGTGGTAGTTGAACATTAATGTAATTTGCATCTAGTGATATTTAGTTCCTGTAATATTTGACTGAGTTTATGATCTAAATAGTGGGTCCAAGGTTGTATTTTTACTTGGGGTTGTTTTATAGCCTCTTAAAATCATTCCTAAGTGCCTGACGTTTAAATTGGTCAACCATATCTTTGTGAATTGGTCAACCACACATTTGATACAGCCTTTGAAAATGAACAAAGCGGTGTCTTTGAAGGGTAAAGGAACCCTACCTATCCGAACCATCTTGAATTTGAGAGAGAGAGAGAGAGAGATTTTATTTTCATGTTTTCGAGTTTGAAAAGAATGAAAGGGAAATATACATTTTATGTGTTCCGAGTATAATAGAAGGGAAATAATAGATAAGGATGTATTTTGTTGTAAAAAATTATTTTCAGTTTTCTTGTAAAAGTTTTTATAAAAATAAATGGAGACAAATTTGGAAACACATTTTATTAAAATTGATTGAATTTTTATTTTCCATTTTAGAAAATTAAAAAACATATTTGAATGTTTTCTATCTGTTTCCATTTTCTTATTTTTGTTATTTCAAATAATAAAATATTTAATATATTACATGACATTTATTTGGCACCATTGTTTTTATGGACCATCAAAATACAACTCTTTAGAGAAAAAATCACAAAAATGTTAAAATGTTATCAATTTGCAGAATTACAAAATGATTTCAACTAGTAGTAAAATTATAGGTGTCTCGTTTCTTGCATTTTGCATGAAATAGATAAAATTATAAAAATAGTCCTTATAAGAGAGGAAATGTAAAATCTAGAAAAATAATCCTCGTAGAAATTACAAAAAAAAAAAAAAAAAAAAAAAAAAAAACTTTATGTTCTCACATTTTGCATAACATTTTTATTAGTTTATTTAGTCAAAAATAACATTTTGTGTTATTGCTTTGTCAACCTTAAAATAATATGATTGGAGTGTATACCGTGTAGGTTTTATATTTTAGAAAAAAGTTTTGAAATAGAAAAGTATGGAATCAAATATGTAATTTATAAATTAAAAAAATTCCATTTTCTTAGAAAAAAAATATTGAACCAAAAGAATTTTTTTTAAACCTTTTTATTTTTCTTTAAAAAAAATTAAAAACTAGAAATTTTAAATAACCAAAGCACTAAAGAAAACCCCCCAAAAAAATAAACATAAAAAGTTCTGGAGTTATTTTAGAGAAAAAAAAAAAAAAAAGGATCAGGTCATATTTCTCTTCCTCGAGACCATTTGGTCGGACTAATCGTCGCCTCGCCTCTATCATCCGTCGGACCTCTGCTCTGCTCGCCCCATCGTCGTATCAGGTAACGTTTCTGTCGCCTCATCTTTCTTCTTCCTTAAACCTGTCGCATCTATTTCGTTGTTGAAACATGTCAACGATTAAACCCTAGCATTTTATATATGATTTACTTACCGATTTATGATCTTTTTCCATTTTGTAAGATGCTGTTTGAGTCTTTGAATGGTCTAAACATAGTTGGGAACAATAGAAGCTATGAAATTATGCTCCAGGAAGTGAACCAGAAACTCTTATTAGGGTTTTAGACCGAAGATATATGAACTAGCAATTGACCAGACCTAAAATCATGTTAGTAAATCTCTATCACTGTTATCATCAATTGGAATTCAAATCTAAATTACTAGCAGTAGCAAGCAAGTAGAGCCATTGTCCTTATCGTGGATTTTCCGCATTCATACATTTCTTCATATTATATGAATCTCACCAAAAGAATCAAAAGCATCTATAACTCCAGATAAAGATATTACAACAAACGCGACTTAGTAAGAAGTTTATACAATCAAGGCCTATCATGTGTTTCAGTTCGAGTAAATCACTAGATAATGGGAAAAGCGTGGAATTTTCTGCTAGAAGCTCACATAGAAATCAAATAACATCGACATTTGGAACCAAATTAATTATGACCATAGTTTTATGGTTTTTTTTCAGAGGTGTAAGTAAGGTTGAAGATAGATAGATAGATAAAGATGCCACATAAAACACGTCCTATGGCAGCACTTTTGCTATTTACTGGACTGAATGTCGTTTTGGTGTCAACAATCACTCCTGTCTATGATTTTGTCTGCTTTCTCCCTTATTGGGAACGAAGGGTATGTAATATGTATACTTCTTCTTCTTATCTTTGTTTCCAATTGCTTTCTTCTAAGTTTTCATCCAAATAGTAAAAGAGAACTTAAATGTTTTTTTTATATAAATGAAATTTTCAATCCTATTGTTACAGAGAGAACTTAGGCGTCAGGAGCGTGAAGCTACTCTAGCAAACAGTTCAACATCAGGATGAACTTCCATGGAGGGTTAAATTTATATAGAAAATAAGAAAATCATTCTTATTGTTAGAGGGTATTTGTTTTGTTTATTCACCTTTGAATTCATAAAATTTGATTCACACATTTATGATCCGTGGTTGTAGGATATATCGCATGCCATTTCACCTATGGTTAACAAAAAAATAAAAAAAGAAACATGAAGTGTTGAGATGAGAAAAGACAGGGGTAGGGGAATTGAAATTTTGTTTTTATGTTAAAGTAGGTAGTGTTGCTATCAACAATTTTGCATATCATGTGTGAGTAGGGTAGATAATTAGATAGTAGTTGTGTTGTCTATTTTGTTTTCCTATCAAGTGAATGTGGCTCACATGGCTTCTTTACTTCATTCTTCATATATAGAATGACAATCCTCACAACTTCATGAAAAGAGGTTTGTTTCATTTTTGGTGGCTATTTATGAGATGAACCTCACTGCATCTTCTTATTTTGTTAGTGTTAGTGTTGGTTCCCGAAATATCATCCCTCTTTCATAACTCTTGGTGTGAATCATAAAGTTGAAAATAGACAATTGGTTACATATTTTAGTACAAATGTTTATCAACTCGTACTTTTATAATTCATTATATACCTTGTAACTTTAAACCCTCCAACTGCTCCAATGACATTTTAGGGCCAACCTGTATCTGTAACGTTCGTTGATATCAATTTAAATTAGGGATGAGCATATGGACCGGGGAACCGGCCAGAACCGGTACCGGAACCGGAACCCGATGGAACCGGTCGGGCCGGGACCGGGACGTTATTTTTGTTGATTTTTGGAACCGGTAGGAACCGGAACCGATATAACTGGAACCGGCAAAAACCGGTAGAACCGGTAAAAACCGAAACCGTATGATGCTATTTTTCGAGGGCCGGTTCCAATATTTGAAGACACGACAAGAACGGTAGGAACCGGGAACCGGTGGAACCGGAACCGGTAGAACCGCCGGGCCGGTTCGGTTCTTGATTTTGGCCGAAGCCGGTTCCCGGTTCCGGCCGGTTCGGTCCTTTTGCTCATCCCTAATTTAAATTCTAGTTCAATGCATGTCAAATACTAATCATGTTTTGTCATGTCCAGTGTAACAAACACATGTGAGAGAAGCAAATTCATCCTAAGGCCCTTCATGTGGATGTGTTAGGGTTTGTATCATAGACCTTTTGTATGTCGTCACTAGAACACAACTTATTGTATGGTTATGGTATGCATTTTTAGTGTAGGTTTTAGGCATGAATATTTGAAGGATTCAACATATTTTTTTATAGACCAAGGGAAATCAATACCCGAATGGTGAAAATTTTCCATCCATTCATGTGTAGATCATTTTTAATCTTTTGGGAAATGGATTTGTCGTGAAAAGTGGATGGTTGTTTGTTTGGAAGGGGGGAGTGGTCCGGTTTTGATGTACACTTTTATGTTTGTTAATATAATAATATCGACAAAAAAACTAAAGGTCGAGTTGCTTTCATGTGGGACACTTATGCTTCGAGTACACGTGAAAATTATCACCTTGGATATTAAATGTTAACGGTGTCTTAATATCGGAATTGATATCGAGTTTATTTATCTTGAAAGGAAAAGTAATGGTAATGTAATTTAAAGTGTGAAGATTAAAAAAAAAAAAAAGTAGATGTTATAATCATGAAGTAATGAGTAATAAAGTAGACAGCCTGTAAAACATTCGAACGTAAGCTTATGTACTTTTGTGGCAAACGACATCATTTTGAAATTTGATGGTTGTAAGCATGAAAGTGATGATGAAAAACTTTAATAAGTTGATTGAGGAATCGGTGCTAAAAATATTCATTTGTGATTGATTTTCGAGTAAATTACAGTTTTGGTCCTTATAGTTATGTTAGATTCACATTTTTTTGTCCAATCTTTAAAAAATGACGCAGCCTTGTGGTTTAAGCAAATTACCTAGCCATCTTTGGTTCATAATCCTTTCTAATATCTTTTTTGTTTTTCTTTTAAGCATTTCTAATTTTTTTAATAATGCGAAAATAACAAAATCTCACCCGGTCCCATCCGTCTTCTTTCTTCTTTCTTTTTTACATCTCTTAGTTGACCTTTCATTCTCCGTCGATACTATAGATGCCCCCAACATTTCATCCATCGGTTTGGTAGCTAACAGACAGTAAAAAGCTTTTATGTAGGAAGGGTTATTTCTAATTCAAGCATCTATATGTCTCTCTGGCATCTAAGTTTTGTTCGGAACTAAGTAAAGAAATATAAAATTTGTTTATATGTTATCTAAAAAATCATTGAAGTCATTTTTTTAACTCTAGTGACAGAACTAACAAGTAATAATTGCATCGGTGTCGGATGATTCTTTGCTACCATCAATGTGAGTTTCTAGCAGATGTAGGGATGTTGGTGGTGGCCAGTGGCAATTATAGTGTCAACGGCTAATGCAAGGTCAAAAAAAAAGTATAGAAAGAAGAAGAGAGGCACCCAAGATGGGGGTGGGGATTTTGTTATTTTCACATTCTTAAAAGTTAGAAATCCCCAAAAAAAAGATATTAGAATGGACAAAGTGGTCTTTCCATATGGACCGCGGTATAAATTTTTTAAATTTGGGATGTATTTTATCAGTTTTTTAAAGGTCAAACCAAAAGTGTGAATTTAACAAAATCATATAAACCAAAACTATAACTTACTCTCTCTATTTTTTTTTCACCGTCAAAGTTAGATCAGAGATAGTACTCCATATGTTTTAAGGAAAGAAACATTAAATGATTACAATAACTAGTGATTGTAACATATTGGTTCTATGATTCTATCGTTTTCTAAATATTCTGTTATATTAAAATAACATAAAATAATGTTAATAATATTTCATTTGCAACCTATATTATCTTTTGAATAAAAGATAATAGTATATTTTTTTAAAGACAAAACTTCATAAATGGTCTATGTGGTATTTCAAAATCTGAAGTTTAGTCCCTATATTTAAAAACCTCACATACGATCCATGAGGTTTCAAAACTTTTAACAAAATGTCCTTATTGCTAACTTCGTCAAGTTTTTCTGTTAAATGAAGGGTATTTTCATCATTTCACTACCACACGGACCATTTATGAAGTTTTTGGTTATATATATATATATATATATATATATATATATATATATATATATATATATATATATATATATATATATATATATATATATATACACACACACACACACACATACACACACACACAAAATCTCTCTCTCTCTCTCTCACACACACACACAGAAACTAGACAATGTTGACTAAAATCAAACTCATCTAATCACCACTACCCTCCCGTCCACCTCCTCCTTGTCTCCCTAATGTCACCAACATACACAATGGAGCGAGCACGCAGGCTAGCAAACAAAGCCATTCTCAAGCTCCTCGTTTCACAAACCAAGCAAAATTCACCATCCCCTACATTGTATTCATCTTCAAGGAATGTTTCCTCGTTGTCTCCATACATCTCTTGTAACAAAAATGTTAGATCATAAAGAAACTTTCATGGGTTTGTTTCTCAAACTTGATCCATATTCGTCGAATCTATGAAACCCGATGACACCTTCACACACCGCCATAACTCTGCCACCCCAGCAGAACAAACCAAAATGGCCAAATTTGTTGGCTTCTCAAGTCTCGATTCACTCATTGACTCCACTGTACCTAAATTGATCCACCTTAATTCCATGTAGTTCCCTAAATTTGATGAAGGCTTAACCAAATCCCAAATGATTGCACGTATCAAAAATTCAACCCACACCGGGAACAATTTTGTATGGCGAAGTACTGCGATTCACACCAAAAATCGAATTGGTTATAGGTGTAACTTAACCAATGTCGGGAAATTTTGCGAATTTTAGGAGGCAACAACATAAACACCTGATTGACCAGAGCTCGAATTAAATAAATCGAGTTTTACACCATGAAACAAAAACATATATCAATCAATGTATAAAATGGAAATCGAGGAAATCTGAAGATAGTTGAGTAGAATACCATGTATGGTCTTCAAGGAGAAATAAAGCAGGTGGGTGAGCTTTGGCGGAATAGATCGACAATGTCTTTTTCTGGCGAATCTGGAAACTCCAACAAGATATGAGTCTTATTCTCCTTGACGATCATTAGATTCTGATTAGGCATAATGAGACGAACACCACACCATAAACATCATATTTGAAATTTTTGAGTTTGATACTTGATAGAAAGGAGAAGAAAGGGCTAGCGGGGAGCAGTGAATATGGCAGATCGAAGGTATCAGATATAGATTCCAATTATTATCTTCGATGTTTGAACTGATCCTCAAAAAATAACAATGTATTTTGAGAAATATTTCGATTACGGTTTCCATTTTTGCCAGTTCTTGTCGGGTCTTGAAACCATGTCCAGTTTCTATATGTTACCATTTATCTAATTTGCACTATAGTCTATAGATTTAAGTTAATAGTTTACAAATAGCCAACGACAACTTGTGATTTTCATATATGAAAAACAAGCGATTGTGTAACATCCGGTTCATGGTACATATTTTAAATAAGAATTTTGCATTTTTATACTGGGACTCGATGAGTTGGAGGCCCCAAACTCGCCGAGTAGGGGCGGATCTTGGTCGTGGGTGGAAGATTCTACTCGACGATTCGGAAGCCCCGACTCGACGCGTAGGTATGCCGTAGTGAAACCCTAATTTTCAGGGTTTGCATCGTATTTTAACACCTTATATGGCCTCCACTCCAGCCTCCATCACCTCCAAACCCTGCTCATGAAACCCTAATCAATATTTGAGTGTTCTTGAGCTATTTTGTGCCATTTTTGTGATTTGATGTGTGAAGAAGGAAGGAAAGGCTTGGAGATTCGAGAAGAAGGCTATAGGTCCAGAGCTTGGGTTACATTTCAAGCTTGTTTGAGGTATAAAGCTTATAACTTGGCTTTCCATCACTTTCAGGATTTGAGTGCATATTAGAGTGATGACTTCAGATCTGGGAACATTTGAGCTCAAGAAGCTTAAAGTTGCCACCTTTATTGAGCTATGGCCCTATCCCATGCATTAGAACTCCTTTAAGGCTTAGTTTTGGTGTTCTAGCTTCATAACTCCCATGTATGCACGTAAAGTTTGTAACTTTACGTGTTATATCGACCCTAGGAGGTCATATCTATGATTTGGATGCAATAAGCCCGATTGAAATTGACTGGATAGACTTGGACTTTGGGGAAATCGACGAGTCGTTCATAGGACTCGGCGATTCGGGTCATGGTTCCCCAACCTTTTCTGCATCTGATCAATCTGGTTGAGTCGAGAAAAGGACTCAGCAAGATGGACGTGATTATGGACTTGAAGATCAAAGAACTCAACAAGTTCAACAATGAACTCAGTGAGTTGAAAACAAATGTCCCGACTAATATGAAGAAGAACTCGGCGAGTCAAGGGCTAAACGTTCCAACTGATATGAAGCAGAACTCGACAAGTTCAAGGATGAACTCGGCGAGTCATGAGCAAAAGGTCCCGATTCTGTATGAAGGAGAACTTGACGAGTTCAAGGAGAA